AACTTAATGCACTGATCCCAAAGATAATGCACAAAGTCCAAGAACATAGGAGAGATTCAATCGCCAATGACGCATCTATTGGAACTACCTAACCTTCTGGGGAAGAAGTGAAAGAGAAGCACCACCCATCTCCGAAGATAATTTGGTAAACTTTGGTAGTGGTTATGAAAATATGTATTATACATTTTACATCTTCACCTAGCGTACGACCATTGGTACCCAAAAATGTACCAGCGGTAAGTTTTCAGGATACCCCACATTTCCCCCGGAGGAGCATAGAGCAAGTAGGATCTCTCGAAGTTCTGACTTTCTGGCTGGATTTTCCGAGACTACGAACTTCGGATCGACTCGCTAACGTGCCCACCTCATCCAGACATAGCTCCACCGAATCACCTTATTCGTCGGGAATTAATGAAATCAGTTACCGATTGCGTTTGAGAGATTGCCAATCTCCAAAACTGATTTAGAATATTGATACCAGAAGGTATATTAAGTTTGGAGGATGGGGCGTTAAATTCGATGGAGATTCCAACGTCAAGTCATTCCTCCAGAGGATAGAGGAGCTGCGTATGTCGAGAAGGGTTTCGAAAAGTCGACTCCTGAACTTTTTACCAATGATGCTCTTTCTTGGTATAGAGTGGGATATTTTTTCTCCTGGGACGAGCTCTCAGTCGCCCTAAAGGAACCCCCCCCTTTAATATGAGCACCTGCTCTTAGAGAAAATCAGACTATGGATCCTAAGAAGAATTTGTTCGTTCAGCAAGTTATCAATGAAACCCACCGAGACAGAGAGACTACATATCATACAAAGAAATCTAATACTACAGATAAACACAAAATTGACACTACACACTATATCCTCTCAATCCAAGAATTGATCAATTTGGGACGGAGAATTGAGGAATCGGAGATGATTTCTTAGCGGTACACTCCACCCACCACCAACTATAAGCAACTACTGAAACCCGAGTTAGCTTACAGAAAATCAAATAATTTCCAGCCATTTTTAGCCACTGTTGAGGTCCCAAGAAGAACAATAATTTCCAGCCATTTTTAGCCACTGTTGAGGTCCCAAGGAGAACAAATTATTCCGCTCGGTCTACTGATAATCCTGAAGTGCGTATTTCGATTCAATATTTATTAATATGATAACTAAAACTGATAAGTATTAAAATTTTCATTTTAACTACAAATAAGCATTGGAGGATGAGGTATAAATAAAATGTCTACCTCTTGAACCTGTATTACGTTCTGCAAATTAAATTACTGCATTTCTTTCTTCTCTAGGCTATAACCTAAAAACAAAATACTCGCAATTAGCAGAACATCTAAGCTAAAACTACCTTACTTGTGGAATACGCTTCGACTCGTTCCCACTCACAGATCTATTTCACACTCATTCGCATAAGCCCGTTTAAAATAAATTGTTAAATAAGTGCAAGCGCTCGCTCAACAATTTGTAATACATCACTCTATCTCTCTTCACGGCAAACTTTGTATAAACCATGCCATTTATTTATACCAATTAGACAGTGTCAAGACAGACTTCTAGACTCAACACGACAAAACATTTTTCTATTTGAGAACCATTTGAAACTCATCGCACAATTAACATTAAAACATATAATATTGTTATTGATTTTAATTCAACGTGACGTTTTATATTTTTGACTAGTCAAGTTTGTAATGTGTATAACAAAGCCTTTTAATAAGATTTCTCGTTCTCTATTACCACATTGGTGAGGTAGTGTGGCGGATCGCACTGAGTTAGAGCTTAAGAAATAAGTTGTTTTTGTTTTTAGAAGTTGTTACTGATTTGAAATCAACGTGACGTTATATATTTTTGACTTATCAAGTTTGTAATTTGGCATAGTATAGTAAAGCTTTTATTACTCTCCATATATTCATAAAATATTTCTTAAACCGGCATGTTTTGTGTTCAGTTATTATGTAGAAATATTTTCATCACTCAATGTGATCATCAATTCAAAGTTCAAAAGGATAAAACAAAACCAATTATCAGAAGCAAATACTTTAATTTATTTATTCCACAACACCTTTCAATCAAGCAAAAACACTTTCTATAAGATTACTTAGATACGGTCCACAACTCTACCCGGTAAGATGGAAGGAACCCTTACACAGATTGTAATAGTTTGGGAAAAAACATTGCTGACCAGTGACAAACCAAAACCAATAAAAGTGGTGCCTTCGCTAAGCGTTTCGAAAAAAATTATTGCTTGTTTCTTTAAAAAAACGAGCCATGTTACAATTGTTGCTAGAGGATATGACAGTTAATGATGTCTGGTATACTTAAATTAGTTTGCTGGAAGTTATTGCTGAGATCAGAAGAAACAACGTAAACCGGAGAATCATTCTTCCCCATGACAGTACAAGCGTGCACACATTACTACGAATTGTCGAGCTTGTCTGCTTTTTATACCGACATATCAAAAATAAAATGGCTCTCTCTATGACCAACCTCCTTATAAGATTTAATTAAAAAAGAACCGTTTTAAACTTATAAAACGTATGTGTTTCCAGATGAAAAAGCATAAAAATTTGTTTTATTACTCCCTTAGTAAAATTCCCAACCTTCTTAAATAATTTTCTTAAGTATCCTAAACGTCTTCGAGATAAAACTGCCTCTAAAATATTCAACGAACTTCCGCAATGCATCAGCCTTCCCAGATTCTTCTAACGTTTTGTTTATTATTATGGCTCACAGTCGAGATTTTCGTGAAAAATACTTAAATGTTTACGGCGATATAAATGGCTTGATGCTGAATGGATGCCACATTTTGCATAACGTATGGCGGCCATAACGGTAATGGCGCTCGTTTCACAGACCAACGCGTGTCGCTAATAGCGCCCTCTATCGCAAGACGTAACCACTACAGATAACCGTAAACTTGGGGCGTAATCGCAGTCATTGCATGCAGGTTCACATCTTGTTGGCCATTGTCCAAATATAGACGCTATCGATGTGTCTTTATGTTTTTCTTATAGATTGCAATTTCACATTATTGAACGTCAAATATTTAGAACTGGTTAAAATTACTGAAAGCTTATTTACGAATATTCTGCATTAGAGCTCACGCACGGGGGTGGTTTCTCCATTCGTTTATTTGTGCAGTGAACACCTAGTTAGATTTCATAAAAACACATTATTTTAAAATTACATAAATAAGATAAAAATATAATTTTAATTTTAATATTTTTATTTTGGTACATCATTGTCCAGTATAGCATATACTGTGTCTATGGCGCATTATGATGAGTGAGCCTAACACGAGTGAGACGATTTAGCGAGTGCATATAGCTAAAAAGAGAAGACAAGTATATTATTTAATTTGATCTTCAAAAACCCACTGGCTTTTCCTAACGAGTTTTTTTCATTTTTTTTATTCATGTTTGGTTTTTAAATTGCTTAATCTACTTTCTATCCTTATAATGTATCTGCGTTACTTTCTGTACTTATTATCTTTTGATAAATAAAAAATTTTCTATTCTATTCTAGATGTTGATTTAAATTTTAAAAATCTTTTTGAGAAAGACGATGATGGGCCTTAATATATACAATTTTTATTATAACTAAGAAAATAATAATTTTATGTTTTAAAAAACTTTAATCCCATCCATAATAGATATATGTTTCGACGTAACATTCGCAAATTTATTATTAATTTAAGTTGTCAAGCTTGTTGTTGATAAGCGACTTCAAAGACTTCGGATAAATTACTCGTATCCTTAAATCAGATAGTGGAAGAACGCCTTCCCCCATCAATCCTTTATCCAAGTGTTTACATCTCGGGGAAACTAAGCAAGGCAAGACAATGCTAAATGGTTCTCTATAGCGACGACTGCTCGTGAAAAATACATATTTATATTTACCGTGAAGATCGTGAAGAAAATTTATGATGGCTCGCAGACGAGACTGGGTCTTGAATAATGAAAGTATGTTTTTGCGATTTGTGACTCGACTAGTCAAACAAGAGATTGTGTATCAAAGATTTATCATTGCGGAAGCAAGTTTTCGCGTTGATTTCCGTAATTGAAACGCCCTCTCGACAGATACTAATCATAAACAAGCAAGAGGAGGTATCCGTCTTAGTCTTAGTGCTCGTTTAAATTGAAAAGTACAGATGTTTGCTTCGTACTATACGGATATCTCGAAACAATCTTGCGAATAAAACAGAATTTATATTTTTTTTATTAATTAGTTCACTTTTCCAATTTTGGAGCGAACCTGCAATAATATGCGACGCAATTAGAGTGTTTTATCTTTCTCATGTACACGTATGTGTTTTCTTTTTACCTTTGTGTTAGTTACTGTTCAGTGAAGTACGCTGCAGTTTCAAATGTATTCTTTCTACACCCACATGGATATTAGCTTATCTACACAAAGATTAGAAAACGAAAAAGTATGCTATTGCCTTCAACTGAACGAATATATTTCATATCCATTCTAGATAGTGAGAACACTGCAAAAAAATTAAATCCACCAATCACCGTTCATATTTTGATCAACCGACTGCTATTATTTTTAAAATTTTAAATGACTAACAATTCTGTCAAACTAATTGTCAGTATATTTTTTAGTTATTGAGATTAAACATATATTAAAATGGGTTTTTCTTGTATAGAATCGATAAATAATAGCATTTCTGTTTTTATTTCGTCTATAGTTATAAATAATTTGTTAATTTAAATAAAAATATATGAAGTTAATTTAATTACGAGTAATAAAGCAACAAAAATAAAAGAATAGGTGGTCCTGTGGTTACCGTTCTTACCTTCCACACTGAAGACTCGAGTTCGATTCTCGTTTATTTTATTTTAAAAATTATTAAAAGTCATAAAATATTTTAAAATTAGTTATTTTGTCTTAATAACCTAAAATATTTTTTTAAATTGTAAATTTTCGTTAGTGGGTCGTGCTCATATTCCATTTTCGTGCGATATGGCCATCATATCCACTCTTGTTGCACAAACCACTATTGTCAATTTGATGTCTCCTTTCAAACCGTCAAAAAAGATATTCTTAATCATTACGTTGTGCCTAGAAGTACGATAAATTGAGAAATTAGACAATTTGGTGGAGTACTTTACCAATAAGAAAGAAAACAACGGACCTTCAATAACTTGGGCATAAACGAGTTTTGGATGCTTTAAAAATCAATATTCACAGTATCACACATATAAAATAGGGACGAAACAGTAATAAAAGTGCTAGAACAATCGCACATTGTACCGAAGTTAAAATTTAATGATGTAACTGATACTGTAAAAGGAGTAGGTAGAAATATATTTTATTATATGAAAGCAAGAGAACATCACATTACAATCAAAATATTGAATGTGAAATTGAAAAACAAACATATTATATATCAGTTTCTAACGTCTTATGAAAGACTGAATATTCATACAAAACTGAAAATATGCGATATTTTTTGCGAATAACTGTTGTTTTTAAACCACATTTTTTTTAATGGAATATAAAGAAGTCAAATCCAATCCAAGGCAGCTTCAATAATAAAAAAATAACACATTAGTAATGGCGTAGTATTGTAATGAAGTCAATTTTCCTCAATCATTTATTTTCATTTTTCATTTTTAATAAATATTTAACGCGATTGAACTGTAGATCCTCAGTTAATTTACAGATGCGCGAACGCCACTCGAAATCTCGCTGCGCGGTGGGTCTGAGCGTAGGTGGGATTTCTATTGGGAAAGGGACAGTTGTTTGAACGAGACCCGAGATGCTATTAAAATTATCAGTTCGATATAATTTTTGGTTGCCAGCAGTCGAGTTTAATAAGCCGCATTCGAAATCAAATCACCGTCGATATTTTTTCCTTTTTCCGTGTATTTACAAATCCGTTAGGTAAAAAACCTTGTTCCGCTTTTTACGTTTGATTTTAAAAACCGAATTAGCTTATAGGAATAGGAACATTTTCAGATAGTGTTTAGTTAAAAGATTTAATTTGATTTCATTAATAAATAATAGAATTTGTTTCTTGGCAAATTTCTTTTGTTTTTATAGATAGTGTTTAGTTAAAAGATTTAATTTGATTTAAATAATAAATATTAGAAATTGTTTCTTGGTAAAAATATTACCATTTTTTTTATAGTTAGTGTTTAGATAAAAGATTTAATTTGATTTCATTAATAAACATTTGAATTTATTTCTTGACAAATATCATACCGTTTCTTTAAAAAGGGATAGAATTTGAATTAAATAATAAATGATAGGATTTAATTCTGTAATATTGTAAAACCGGGGATTTTAGACTTTTGATCGTTAGTCTGTATTAAGAAATTATTTTTTTCTTTTGATAGGTTAAATCGGGAATTAAATTTAATTTTATTGATAAATACTTTTGTTTAGTAAGTACCGCGTTGTAATTAAGTTGGGAATATTTGTAAACGGAGTTTTCGAGGAGAAGTTTTCCCTCTTTTAATAGATTGTTTATTCTTTTACCGTATATTTAAATAATCTTAAATAGCATCCTGTCCTTGACTGAACGGGCTCGTGATGACGATCAGTTCACCCTTGGTGTAGGTGCTATCCGCGTTATAATTTTTTTTTGTTAATCTATAAACCACAAATTTTAAATAATTTTAAATAGTATCCTGTCCTGTTTGAACGGGCTCGTGATGACGATCAGTTCACTCTTGGAGTAGGTACTATCCGAGTTAGTAATTTTCTTCTCTCCGATAATAATTTGTTTTTCTCTTTTACCGACAATTTAAATAACTTTAAATAGTATCCTGTCCCTGTCTGAACGGGCTCGTGATGACGATCAGTTCATTCTTGGACTAGGTGCTATCCGGGTTAGTTTTCTTTTCCGCTTTATATGCTTCTTTTTTTTCGTGCAAACTGCAAGTTGTAGAAATCAAAAATAGCTTTATTACCCTGTCTGAGCGGGCTCGTGATGACGATCAGCTCATTCTGGGATAATAGGCTACCCCGGGTATAAATTTTTTTTTATTTTCTTTGTATTTACTATAAGTAATTCTTTCGTGTCCCTGTCTCCTCGCACTCTCTTCGACCGTTTAGCTAATTTTTCTTCACCTAAATAGCAAAATACCTACATTTTAGTTTAATTCCCGATACCGCGGTTAAACAGTTATTTATCGAGTAAATACCCAAGTTAATAATTTTTTTTTCTCTGCGACCGAAACGTACGTTTTATTTTAATTTAATTTTGACGTCTGATTGAGACTAGTCGCGAATCAATACCGTCCGTTTTGTTTCTTTTGTTTTTATTTATTCAGGGTTATATTGACTATCACCACAACTGGGGTAGGCGTTGAAATATTTAATTTTTTTTTGTTGTAAATAGTGAATCACACTATATGTGTCAATGTTAACCTGCCGTATTACTGGTTAATAATTCTCTACTTTATTTCCCCCTTATATTTCAGCTAGTGATAAATTCTGTACCAGCCCAAGCAACGATTAAAGCCCGTTACTTGTGGCCTACTATTACCTGTGTCTAAGTGACCTTTGACCCCTGGAATTTTTCATCTCCATCTGTAGCTACCCGAGTACTTTCGACGCCGTTTCGAGAGTTTGTGGAGTAAGCCATTCGTAAGGAACGGTTTCTCTGTGGCGAGAAAACCCTTTTTAGTATATAGCCTAATGGCCATTCAGCTCAACCATATCACAAATGCCAAAACTAACTTAAGTGTATATTCAGTGAACTGTATTTAAGTAAAATTATAGTAAAATGACTTTTGAAACATTGAAATTATATGTCGCAGCATGGCGATAGTATGGCGATAGTATGGCGATTTCGCAAATTTAAGACATGTGCAACAATTCCTATAAGTTCTCCTAAATATATTGGTCAATTAGCTTTTAATAAAAAACAATAACCCAGAATAGAAACTTAAACATTTTCAAACATTTTATTGAATTTATGTAAGCTGATATGAGATCATATATTTACTTCTGTTACAAGCAATCTGACAGCACGAGTTTTGTATTTTTTATGAACGGTTTTTAGTAGCTCTGTCAAGAAACAGATAGGATACAAGAAGCAGTATCTATGTTGTTTTAGAAATTACTAAGCTTTCACAAAAGCTTTTCCTCATGTTAAATATTGTTTACCGGAATATAAGAGTCTTAGACGAAAGTGACAATTTTTAGATCCATTAGAAACATGTTCAACAAATTTTAAATTTTTATTTAAATACAGACCCAGGTTCTTTTACAGTAAGAAAATTTTATTTATTTACCATTTTCGTTAATCTGCATTACCAATTCAAACATATTCTTAAGAGGATATTTTTGAAACGGTCATGTGATCATGGAAATACGAAAATTTGAATAGATTAAAAAGATAATAAACGAAATCGTCTAAACGCTTCGTAGTTGTACATGTTGCAAGAAAAATCGTTGTTATTAATTTTACGACAGAAAATTATTGTTTATAAAAATTCTGCTTGTCAAAAAATAGAATTATCGTACAAAAATAGGACCTAAAAAATAAAGGGTTTAAGTCAGCCACTAAGCAGAAAAGTTAAAAGACTGCTCCCACTATTTACTCTAGCCTTTAACAAAGAATAAAGGGTCAAACAAATTTATGGGATTAAGAAATACTTTATTTGAGAGTGCCAATAATATGGGCATACATAAAACTACTGCAAAAGAGAACCCAGATGTGTTAAATGCGCTGGAAAACACTCAACCCAAGATTGTAAAAAACCAATAAATACAGCACCTAAGTGCTAAGGGAGCAACCCGGCTAATTATAGAAGTTGTACCACTGTAAAAGCTCTGTAGAGCATAAGAAACAAAACTACAAATCAGAAAGACACAGTCAACCAAGTGAACCGAGGAAATCTAGAGAAAACTGTAGAAAGACAACAAACAGTAATGGAGGCTGGTATGCCTTATACCCAAGTAGCAAGTAATGAAATAAAACAGACATATTAAAGAGCATAACTGATCATATAACTTCAATGCTGCAAAAAATAATGATTCAAATGGATAAAGAGGAAGGATTTTAACAAAAAATTTCTAGAAAGGTGGACAGACTAGGAAATAATAGAAGACGATAAAATAGAAAATGACTCCTGACCTTAGGATTCTCGAATGGAACACCTATCTACAGCTCAGACAAGCAGCAAGTTCCAGATCCTCCCGGTTGTTTCAGCACAACATCGATGACTAACACGGAATCCAAAGAAGATCAAATTCAAAGTGACACAAGTTCAGATGAATTGGTTTATGTTAATGAAGAACCACATATGATAACTCAGTCTGAACTGAATGATTTAGTAACAGATTTAAACTTATCTAAATCCAAAGCTGAATTACTAGGTTCACGACTCCAACAATGGAGGTTACTTGCTCCCAACACAAGAGTTACTATGTATCGTAAGCGAAGTGAATGTTTTACAACATATTTCAAGAAAGAAAACTAATTTTGTTACTGTTATGATATAGCAGGGCTTTTCAAAGAAATGCAGCAACTTTATGAGTCAGAAGAATGGAGGTTATTCATTGATTCATTGAAGATTAGATTAAAAGCAGTCCTTCTACATGACGGCAATAAGAAGACCTCTAATCCGATAGGTCACGCAGTAAATACCAAAGAAACATATGAAACGATGTCAAAACTAATTGAACTTATTAAATACAAAGGTCACAATTGGATCGTCTGCGGTGATTTAAAAGTTGTAGGTTAATTTTTGGGCTTACAAGGTGGTTATACAAAATATTGTGGTTTTTTGTGTTTGTGGGATTCGCGAGCCAAACAAGATCATTATAAAAAGATAGATTTGTCAGTTAGAAAAGAATATAGCCCTGGTAAACTGAATATAAAGCATAAATATCTAATACCTCCACTAAAAATTGTTTTACCACCGCTTCATATAAAATTAGGATTGGTAAAAAACTTTGTCAAGGCTTTAGATAAAACTAGCGTAGCTTTTAAGTATTTGGGCTCAATTTTTCGTAATCTTTCTGCGGGAAAACTGAAAGAAGGTATTTTTATCGGACCGCAATTCAAAAAAATGTTGAAGGATGAGGTATTTGAAAATAGTCTTACTGATACTGAAAGATCTGCTTGGAATTCACATGACTTGTTATAACGTATGTCCCTAAAGTTTTCGGAAAAAAATCTATTTTTGTTTATTTATCGCAGACAGCCTAGGATCAAGTTGCCATTGGAAACAAAGTTAGTAAACAACTCAAAGTATGTTGCTAAATGTCAGTTTTGACTAATTGTTTGTCAAGATGTCGTATAAGCTTAATATTCGTCAAAGTATTTATCATTTAGTTGGACAAGTACCTAAGCGCGATATTGTTAGAATTTTCAGCGCCCAAAATATTTCTACTTCCACAATTTACCAGACTATTACAGACTGTGAAAATGGCATACCATGCATTAATTTGCCAAAAAGTGGGAGGCCAAAAGTTTTAAGTCGTGCACGAGAACGGAGATTGGTTGAAAGTGTAGAAAACAACTTAGGAAAGTCATTGCGCAAAGTTGGCCGAAGATACAATGTTTGCCGGATGACTGTAAGTAGAACACCCTCTAGAAATAATTTAAAATATTATAAAAGAAGAAAGGCTCCTAAATACACAGTAGCTCAGTTGGAAAAAATTCCCAGATGTTGCCGTGCTTTGAGACGTATTCATTTTCCCGGTAAAATTATCATTATGGATGATGAAAAATATTTTACCTTATCAAATTCCGAAATGAGAGGTAACGATGGATTTTATACACGTAACTAATGCATAAGAAGCTCCTGATCATGTTAGATTTAAAGGCAAGGTTAAATTTGCCGACAAAATTTTAGTGTGGTGTGCCATTTCGGAAGCTGGTGTTTCACAGCCACATGTTGGACGTGTTCGCGGTGAAGCTATCAATGCGGAGATTTACATTGAGAGATGTCTTTCAAAACTTCGTAACTTTATACATACTCATCATACCAATGATGAAGTGATATTTTGGCCCGATCTAGCATCGTGCCTTTACGCCAGGAGAACGACAGACTGGTTAACTACTCAAAATATAAATTTTGTTCCTAAGCGCGACAACCCTCCAAATGTGCCTCAGGCGAAGCCTATAGAAGAGTTTTGGACCCTTTTAAGTCGAAAAGTATATGATAATGGATGGGAAGCTCAAAATGAGGAGAGTTAAGACGAAGAATACTGCAAAAAAATCGTGAGACCGATTTAGCAACGATCCAAAGGCTTATGGCCCATGTAAGGCCAAAACTACGTGCCATCGAAGAACATGGACCCATGTATGTTCTATAAAAATATCAAATAACGTTTAGAGTTCTAGAAATACTTTCCCATTGTTAGTTTTTAAATAAATTTATTTCCCAACCAAAAAAATAAATGTTTTATTTTTTCCGAAAACTTTAGGCAATTTTTAGGCAACAAAAAAAAATGAAAATTACAGACAGTTAATTGCTGATTTATTACATAATTTTCAAGGAATGGGTATCAACATGTCTCTGAAAATTAATTTCCTTCATTCGCACCTCGATTTCTTTCCTGAAAACCTCGGAGAAGTCAGCGACGAACATGGAGAGCGTTTTCATCAGGATTTGAAATTTTTTGAACAAAATTATCAAGGATACTGGAACCAAGCCATGTAAGGTGATTATTGCTGGTCTGTTATAAGAGACACAGATACAAATAAATACAAGAAAAAAGCTAAGGCAAAACATTTTTAAATATTTTTCTAGGCATTTTTTTGTAAATCAAACGTAATAAATATTTTGGAAACGTGACGTGTTGGGTTTTTCTCATATTTTTTTTTTAAACTCGGCGCATCTCGAATGATGACTTTTCATTTTAAGGACAAAAACCATTGTATTTGTTTGAATCTACGGACTCTGAGATTAAGAAGTGATAGTCAAGTTTAGAGGATGAGTTTAAATTTTTGTTATAAAACAAACTGATTTCTCATAACAAATTTTTTTTATATTATACAACAAAACTAATTTTCTCATCAATATATCTTCACTTTTTTTGACTATATTAGTAAATTTTATTGTTTAAGATTCCATTTTTCAGTCACTTTTCGTTTAATATTTTTATTTGATAAGTTGTTTTTTGTTTTAGATATGTTAAAATTATAATCTGTACTAATGTTGTATAGTGATTTAAGTCAAGTTTTATTTTGTTTCGAGATAAAATCCAATGAATACAACTACAGGAGTCGAAATAAATAACAACACCTAGAATATCGATGTTAATATCATTGTTAAATCCACTCGAAAAGTTTATCGATTCTCACCGTATCGGAATCGTCTGCAAAATCCGGTGCAGAATGGAGAATAATATATTAGTTGCGGTCGCCTACACGCAAAAATAAAGGCAATGAATTATCGTAATATTGATTTTGCAGCAGTGGACGTCCGACGAATTAATTTATTTTATCTATTAATCTAGAATTAGTTTGACGGGATAATGTATTATGGTGTTGTACGTACGTGCAACATTACTCTGACGTCGTTAATTATAAATAATGAACCTACATTATAACGCGATTATATGTTAAGTTGCACAGTGTTTTGTATTAATGTACTGGAATTCCTGAATTACTATGAAAACTAGTAATTATCGATTATAAATGGCATCCATGCTCTTTAATACATTTATTGATTTTATTTTGAGTGCAATACAATTTACAATTTATAGGGTGATTCACAAGTATGGTAACTTTTTTAGTGTTTCGTCTAATTTGGCAAAAAGGAACACTTAATGAGGTAACGCATAAGGCAATCGCGGTCTCGTCGCATCACGTTAGTCTTGACCGTGCGCAGTAAAGCTCTTTTCCATATTTTCTAACGCTTGCATTTGCACTTGGTGTTTTTAAGGGACCTAGGTATATTGTTTAAAATCAATTGTTCGCAATCAATTATTCGAAAATCAATTATTCGAAAAATCAATTAATCGAAAGTCAATTGTTCAAAATCAGTTGTTAGAAATCAATTATTTCAAAAGCATTTATTCAAAAGATAATAATTCTTGAAAAGTTATTATTTGAAGCAAATCTTATTTTCAATTTCACAAAATTAAAATTATTATATTTATTTCTATTCAAAATCTTAATTTAAAAAACAATGGATGTGTTTAGTGTAAACGAATTTAACGAATCCAATACTATTAACTGTTTAATGAAGCGCCTATTTCCATTGGTCACTAAAGAATCTATGATATCATACACATACAGTTGATCGTTATCTTTTTCTAATAGTAACATTTATGATAATTATCTCTTTCTAAAATCAGATTAAAATTATGTTGTTTTCTTTTCTCATAATACAAAAATGTTAAAATTTCTAACCTCAAATCGATTGTGGGGAAACAATAAAATTGCTTTTAAAAAATGTGATAAAATAAACATTTTGTTATGTGAGGCATTTCAATATTCAGTCATGCTCTAACCCTCCAAGTCCCTCTCTGTCTTATTTGGCCTTTGAGGCTCAACTTTTCCGATTATTATACATAATTAAACCCCTTAAGACCAAACCTATGGGACGACTATGGCGGAGGTGCTTTCGATGACTATTCGAGAAAGGACGGGATAATGATTTTAGTCTATTGGTGAGAATATGTGAACTTACTAGAACATTCGCCAATTTTTTAAATTTGTATATAAATATTGGTGGAGGACCCAGCAGAGTTAGTTATTATATGGACAGTGAAGATAAATAGCGAACAGTTTAAAGACATTCGAAATTTACATAAATTGGAATATTAGTATTATTATAAATAAATAAGTGTTTAAATAAATTATTAATAAATAAAATGTTGTTTAAAATAAACAAATATCACAATTTGTTTAATTTTGGTTACATTAAAAATATTTGGTTATATTTATAAGTACTTGGTCCCTAAGAGAAATAAAAAACAAACCAGTCAATCTGTTAAAATGTTAACAAAAGTTCCACAAAATCCAGACCTAGACATTTAAAAACGACAGTAGGCTAAGGGCTGTTGCAAAACACAAACTACCTTGCTTTTATATTTATTTTGAAGTAAGTAAATATATTCTTGAATTGTTCTTGTTTCCAATTTGATATAAATTTATAAAACGTATCTAGTTGATCAACTAGTAGGTCAATATAGGTACTTACCTTTTTACTTAACACTGAGTCTAAGGGTACTAATTAGTTTGCATTATTTTTTAAGTGCAGAAAACTGGATCCTTTTCAAAATTATTGGTAAAAATTTGACAATAAAAGAAGATGTGCCTCATAAATATCCCACCTATTATTTATTATTTAAAACATTTATTCACCTATTAAAATATTTTCAACTACATGTCAACATAACAAATTGTACCCGAATGGGCCATGACGATATATTCGCCCTTCATATACTGCAATGTTTAATATTGATGAAAGTTGCTAGATATAGCAGCCCCCACTCCTTACTTATTAGGGGTAGTTATGCCGTGAGACGAGAGATTCTCGTCTCTCGTCTCGTGTTATCTCGTCTTGTACGAGACGAGAGGACAGTTTTCTCTGGCCCTACAAGACGAGACGAGAGATGCCTCTCTCTCGTCTTGTGGCATCACTAATTAGAGGGTTGTGGTTGTCTTGAGTAAGTAATTGATCAGTGTTTGTAAGTATGGCTTTGTTTAGTTATGGCTGAAAAGACAGGAAAAAATATTTGTCATTGTTAGTATATGGTATTGAGTTTAGTCTTTGGTTATTGTCCCACCTCACAGCATAAGTGAGCATTGGGACACCCGCCGACCTTCCCACCGTTCAGTCGTCCTTCGGATTACAGTTCGTAAATATATGTCCGTGTGAGTTGCTACTGTTGCTATTGTGATTCAGTTTGTTTGTTGCTGTGATGGAGGATGTTACTATCGTATGTCTATGTTGGAAAAATTGAAAAAATGGTATTACCTAAAATTCCTAGTTAAGGCTCTTTAACTGACCCTGCCAAAAAAGGATTGAAAATTTGAATTGTATTGTCATTTCATATATAAATAATTGCTTAAACGATTATAATAAAGCTTGCCTGTTATTTATTGTATTCTTTTTAAATAGTCATTGTCGTTCCTTTGTCATTGTATTTCCCAAAATATAACTTTTCAAAATTGTTTATTAAATGAGAACCATAATTGTGCCTGTCCACTCAGATTGTTCCTTACTGTTTCCCTCCATTCTTCAATATTCCTTTATTTTGTTTCTCAAGGATGAATCTTCCTAACATCCCCATCATAATAACATTTTCTTGGTAGTGGTAAATGTTATTTATTATGTTTCTATCTCCATTAAATTTTGTTCCTTTAATACTTTTTTTCCTGTTGTAAATTTTCCTTTGTGACCTTTAAATTATTTTCTAATTTGTCGTTTTCATTTTTCATTATACGTCTTCATTTTTCATTCTCTACTTCTGTTATACTTAAGTTTTATCAAATTTCTTCTTTCAGATCACTTTCTATTATTTGTATTTCTTTAGTGTTCTTTAAAATCTTTCTTTCTATTTTTTCTTTGCCCATCTTTGCATCCCTTCTATTCTTTAATTTTATTCTTATCTATCTTTGGTCTTCCTGTAATTTATTTATGTTTTCTTTATTTGTACCTTTCTTTATTTCTTTCCGATCATACTGTCTTTTTCCCCTACTGTTCTTTCTCCTGCTCCTTGTATATTCACTAGTAGATACCTCTTTTGGTGTTTCTTCAATTTCTTCTTCTTCATTTTCTCTAACTTGTTTAGTATGTCCACCTCTTAGATCCATTTTAAGTTATTTATTTTATCGAAATTTAAAATAAGTTTGTTAATAAATAAACAATTAAACAACTCTAATTTATAGATTTTGTAGGCCACACGTTGAGCTAGCCAATTAATATAGATTAGGGCTGAATAATATTAATTTTATTATTACTTATTATTGATGAACATGTATTTAATATGAATAATTATTAAGATATTTTTTTATTTAATTAAATTGTATGAGACTCTTCGTATAATATAATTTCGTATATAAGCTCAAGTGGTTAGAAATTAACCATTTAAATTAAAACAGTAATTACGTTTAATTATTAAAATAATTATCCTTAAATAATACGAAAAAGAAGCATTATAACCGAAACGTCTGCATGATAAAACTTAAAATAGAATCCGAAACAATGTTATGCCGACTTTAATGGATTCGGGGTGTATTTCTATACAACAAAGAATGCCGAAAGAATTCGCTAAAGGGTCTGCCAAATTTTCAATTATTATCCTTCTCTATATTTCGTTACGAGTGAATATACAGTTACTTTATTAAGGGCAAAAAAATGAATATTCAGTTTCTTTTGCAAAAAAGAAAAATATTAAAATTATTTATATTACTGCTGCCGTTTTTCTTTTGTATCTTTCGTATTGGAATCGTTAGTAATGAGAAAATAACTGATTAAAATACGAAGCAAAAGCAGAAACTTCAGATAATAAAGTTTGATATAAAAATTTGTGGATTTGATCTGTTTATTTATTACAATTTTCGATGTGTTCTCAAAAAAATGAAAAAAAAACCTGTAAAGACATTTTAAACAAATATTTACGGTAATTTTTGTGAATCATATTGATTATAGAATTCTCTATAATATTGACGTCACTTTCATTTCTAGAACTCTTGTTTAAAAACGATTTTCCAATAAAAACATTTTGAACGAAACTCGGATTTTCTGCGAAATTATAATTTTCCTTT